AAAATAGGTATTAGGAATTAATTCATTTATTCAAAAATATTAAGTGTATATTATTTACAATGCATAAGTCAGTGACCAAAGAAATACGCAATCCTTGTCTTCAAAGAAGGTGGTTGAATAAGACACAAGAAGATGACTTTGAGTGGAAGGCACAGACATGTCAGGGAGCTCCCAAAATAATAGAGATGAAAGCTGGCTGACAATGGCTTAAATGGGTGGTAGCAATGGAGGTGGTGAGAAGTGGTCAGCAGCATCTGAGTGTACTTTTCAGACTGGTCCAGTGGGATCTGAGATCCATGCTGGGTTTCAACCTGAACAACCAGAAGAATAATCACCTCCTCTGATATTCTGATGAGCTGAGCCAGACACCTAGAACCAAGCACCTTTAAGAGTTCTCCCAAAGGGCCAGGCACGATGGCTCACACCTGTAATCCTAGTGCCCTGGGAGGCAGAGGTGGGTAGATTGTTTGAGCTCACGAGTTTGAGACCAGCCTTAGCAAAAGCAAGACCCCATCTCTACTTAAAATAGAAAAACTGAGGCAAGAGGATCGCTTGAGCCCAAAAGTTTGAGGTTACTGTGATCTAAGACACCATGGCACTCTACCCAGGGCGACAGCCTGAGACTCTGTCTCAAAAAAAAAAAAAAAGTTCTCCCTAAGATAACACTGAGCACAACCCCGGACCGTCATCATGGTCCTGTGCTCTGGACTCCAGCGTCAAACTGAAAGACTTGTGCTCAGGCTGTTATAAAAAAGAAAGCAGGTGGTGGTTGTTACAATGGTAGACAGTAATTGCCAGGACTATACCAAAGACACAGTTTAAGAAAATAAATGCCTTGAACATCAGCATCAACATACAGTATCCTACACAGCCATCCATCCTGGACTTCAAGTCCCTACAGAAGTGTCCCACTGCCAAAGTCACTGCCCAATCAGGCTGAGGTGGCCTGAGACCCTTCAGTATGGACCTTTACAGACTGTGGCTTTATGCTGCCTCCCTCAAGGCATGGGTAGCTGATGATAACAACTCTTGTACATCTCCAGTTAAAATAAGAAAGGCTGATCAAAGGTCAAATTCCTAGGACCAAATCCCAGGTATTACTTCCTTTGTGAAGCCTGCCTGATGAGTATTATTGAGCAAGCTAAAGACTGCAACTACATTTCTGTGGAAATGTTCTTGCTACTTTGTCTCCACAAGGTATCTTTGATGCTCCACTAGAACTCACAGGAGAAGCAGTCCAAAGTGGTAAGAGAGCCACTGCAGCTCCTGTTTACTTGTACAAAAACTGTAGGTACATACACCTAAATATAAATATGGGGTTGATAAAAAATATATATGGTATATCCATATTATGAAACACTATGCAATGGTTAGAAAGAAGACAATTTATATAAAGGACAATTCACATAAAAATTGCAGAGGAGTGTGTATATGAACTCCTACTCACCTGGGGAAAAACACTCCATAAACTATAAACTGTGTGTGTGTGTGCACATGTGAGCATTAAACAGCTGTAAAAGTGTGGAAAGATGGCTCAGTGTCTGTGGCTCAGCGGCTAGGGCACCAGGCACATACGCTGGGGCTGGTGGGTTCGAACCCAGCCCGGCCCTGCCAAAAACCACAATGACAACTACAAAAAAAAAAAAAAAAATAGCCTGGCACTGTGGTAGGTACCTGTAGTCCCAACTATTCAGAAGGCTGAGGCAAAAGAATCACGTAAGCCCAAGAGTTTGAGGTTGCCATGAGCTGTGATGCCATAGCATTCTACCCAGGATAACACTGTAAGACTCTGTCTCAAAAAAAAAAACCCAATAAATGGTAGTTACATGTGGAGAGGAGATTGGACAGAGGTCTGTAAGTGGGGAACTTTCACTCCTTACACACTTGAATTCAATTTGAATGTTTTACAAGAGCATTGTCTTATTTTATGAAGAGGAAAAAAAAAGAGAAACACTAAACAGAAAGCTTTGGCTTCACATCCTTAAATCCATGCCTCATTAATCTATGTGACTTTGAAAAACCACTTGCACTCTTCTGAACTTCAGTTTCCTTACCTGAAAACATGGATAAACACCTCCAAAATTACAGTGATAACTGATATTAGAAATACAAAAAGTTGACCTTCTGTGTTACCTGTCCAGGCAAAGTCCAAACAGAAATGAATGAGCTCCCTACACTGTTTTCCAAACCACTACTCAGACCTACAGTGTAAAAGCACATTCTTGTAATTACAGTAGAAAACCTCGATTAAATTGATCACCCAAGGGACTGTAGCAAACTGGGCAATATACAGAGTTGGTAAACATAAAGAAGTAGGTCTATTGTACTGATATGTACATGTGGTGCATGTCTGACGTATGAAAATTAGGTCAACTTGGCTGGGTGCAGGGGCTCACACCTGTAATCCTAGCACTCCAGGAAGCCAAGGCGGGTGGATTGCTTGAGCTCAGGAGTACAAGACCTGAGCTTGAGCAAAAGCAAGACCATCTCTACTAAAAATAGAAAAGAACTGAGGCAAGAGAATCACTTGAGCCCGAGTTGGAGGCTGCTGTGAGTTATGACGCCATAGCACTGCACCCAGGATGACAGCTTGAGACTCTGCCTCAAAATTAAAAACTAGGTTAGGGTAGTGCCTGAGGCTCAGTGGGTAAGGCTCTGGCCCCATATAACGAGGGTGGCGGGTTCAAACCCAGCCCCAGCCAAACTGCAACAAAAAAATAGCCAGGCATTGTGGCAAGCCCCTGTAGTCCCAGCTATTTGGGAGGCTGAGGCAAGAGAATCACGTAAGCCCAGGAGTAGGAGGTTGCTGTGAGCTGTGACACCACAGCACTCTACCAAGGGCAATAAAGTCGGACTCTGTCTCTACAAAAAATTAGGTTAACTTAAGGAAATAGTCATGATAGGGAGATGGTCAACTATGGAGGTTCTACTGTATTTGCACCATATTTGCTCATCTCCACCTCCCCAAGACTGTAATTCCTAAAAAGCACCTTAAATTCCTAGTTCCTAATTCAATGAATACTTACTGAAATGAATTTAAATTTCTCCATGCTCTGAATGCCTATATTCACTAACACAATACATATTTATTGAGCATCTACTACACTCCAGGCTCTTTTCTAGGAGCTTGAGATACAAGAGTAAAACGGAGCTTATACGCTAGCGGTGCAAACTGACAAAGAATAAACAAACAAATGAATAAAATGCAGTAACTGCAAATTGCCACAAGTGCTCTAGGGAAACAAAGGACTGAGAAGGAATAGCAGAGGAGGAATCTTTTGGGAGCTGGCCAAAGGACCCTCATATCTGGAGGGGGATATTGAGCAAAGATCTGAAGTTTAGAAGGAAACCAAGCCACGTTGGGGGCAGAGGGACTGCCAAAGAGAAGCCTGAGTTATGGATTGGTTTGATGAGTTCGAGAGACAGCAAAAAAGCAGGTTTGACTACCAAAGAGGGAACACGGGAGAAATGACAGGGCATAGGCCAGCAGGAGGCAGCGGCCAGACAGTCCGTAGGACCTCACAGTCCACGCGTGGTTCTAGATGCAATAACAAGCCATCAGAAGCCTTTAGGCCCACCCACGACAGATGTAATTCTCATTTCATTTGGGACCGCTTTTGCTGCTGGGGGGAAAATGGAGTGGTCCAGGAGCAGGGACCGAGGGACCCTCCTACACTCACCAGGTCGGGCCGGTAGTACCTGTGCACCACTTCGGCCCCCGCGAACATGGACAGGAGGCTGGCTGCGAACATTTTCAGGTAGGTGCCCATGGGCACACCCGCGGGCATGGTCGGCGGCTGGACGGGGAGGGAAAGGGGCAGTGTGAGAAGGCTCTCCGCTCACGCCTAACTACGCTGCACCGGGGCTGAGCCGCTCCAGGCAGCACCGGCAACAAGCCCGAGGTGCGGAGGGTGCCGAGTGAGAACCATGCCCGCGCCTCGCCTTCCTCGGTTATGACAGGAGGGCACGGAACGGACGAGCGCCCCTTGCAGGCCGAAGCCCAGTCTCGCACCGTTCGTCAGTGCAGGGCGCCTGCAGAGCAGCTCCGCTGAGCGAGCGGAAGGCCCACACCGGCGGTTTCCCCGCGCCCCTAGGTCAGGAAGGGACAAAGAATAACCGGCAATGAAGCACTCCCTACTAACCCCGTAGACGCTTCCAGACAAGAGACTGTACCGCGAAGTGCACAGGCGCTGGGTCGCGGGTCTCTGGGTGGGCGGAAGCGCGCCCACGAGCGGGAGCGGACTGCAAGGGGGCCGGACCGAAAACACAGGGGTCGGAGGCCACGCCGGACTAGACAGCCGGAGCAACGCGGACGTGGGCACGTGACCCCGGCGGAAGTGGGTTTCTGAGATTCGGTTAGTGGTGTCTTTTTGCTCCCTCCAATAACCACTGGTTTTCCAGCCCTGAGCTCCCGGTGCCTCAACCTATAGTTGGATTTTCCTGGCAGATGAGGCGTCTCAGGCTCGACTCTAGATTATTGAATCATTTGTTCTTTACACATTCAAAGGAAATGCATGCGTTTATCCCCTTTTAGGAAGGCTGGAGAGTCACTCATTAAGCCATTTGCGTGCTTTTGAGGTCAAAAGTAAGTGGCTAAAAGCTCTCGCTGTCCTCGTACCTGGCATGTTTTGATGCCTGAAATAAAGCCACATCCAACACCTGTCTATGCCCTTATGTTATCTGTGGTGCTGCTGGGAAAGAAAAAACCTGAAATTCACATTATTTAATCCAGGCATTTTAGTTTTGATTATGGGAACTGATTTTTTTTTTCAAGCAAATAGCACCACTGAATTCTCAAGAATTAAAGTTGGTGTATGACACACAATATACTTATTTAAAAACAATTTTTGGAAGTATATTTGACACACAGTAAACTGCACATAAAGATACAATTTGATAAGGTTTGACACATGTGAGCCCATTACTACAATTAAGATAATGAACATATCCATCATATTCAAAAGTTTCTTTGTGCTTCTTTCTACTCTTTCCCACTTGCCTCATTTCCTAGGTAATCACAGATCTGCTTTCTGTCATTATAGGTTAGTTTGCATTTTCTAGAATGTTATATAGAATGTTATGTAAGTGGAATCCTAAGTATGTACTATTTTTGGCTAGATTGTTCCAGGCACTCGGTTATTTTGAGGTTCACTGCGTTGTTGGATGTATCAGCTCTTCACTCCTTTTTATTGCTGGGTTTATTTATATTAGTTAGTTTGTCCATATACTTTATCTGTTTTGCTTGCTTCCAGTAGTGGGTGTGAAAATAAATAAAATGTAAAAGCTGTTGCAATCCCTAAAAATACTTTGGGCCTTGAGAGAGAGGTGACTGTGATCTTGCGACTTCCATTCTCAGATTATAGATTAACTCACTTTTTTACTTTTCTTCTGTACAAAGACTAGAAAGACTCAAACCGTGTTAGAGACAAAAATCTCCTGCCTTCTTAATTTATGCCCCTTGTTATAGAATAATTTACCCTTTGTTATCCTGCTTTGTTTAGACTAGATGACAGAAAACCCATGACAATTATACCATCTGTTAAAAAAAAGGGGGGGGTGGGGGTTTAAATGTACCCATCCGGAAAAGAAACACAGCCTGTAATCAATCAAATTGATTATGTGCCGATCCCTTATGAATAAAATTGTAATCCTGCTAAAACTCCTCTGTCTCTGCCTATATAAACAAAATATTAACTTTCCTACTTCAGAACTCTGACTCTATTCCTTTAGAGTTGGTTTTTCTGGGTGGTCCATCCTCATACTTTGTTCCTGAATAAATTCTCTTTAAACTAGATTCTGAACCTTTTGATTATTTTAGGTTGGAATTGGCTAATAGAAATAAAGCTGCTATGACTATGAATTATCAAATTCATCAAAATCATCAAAGTACTTTTCATTGTACTTGTACAATTTTACATTCCTACCAGCACAGTTATAATTCCTTTACATCCTCTCCAGTATTTGCTCTGGTTAGTCTTTATAATTTTAGCCATTCTAATGTGTGGTAATGGTTTCTTATTTTGATTTTAATTTGACTCATGGGCTCAGTGCCTGTGGCTCAAGTGGCTAAGGCATCAACCACATACACCTAAGGTGGCGGGTTCAAATCCAGCCTGGGCCCACCAAACAACAATGACAGCTGCAACCAAAAAAATAGCCGGGCGTTGTGGCAGGTGCCTGTGGTCCCAGCTACTTGGGAGGCTGAGGCAGGAGACTCGCTTGAGCCCAGGAGTTGGAGGTTGCTATGAGCTGTGATGCGACAGCACTCTACCCAGGGGGACAGCTTGAGGCTCTGTCTCAAAAAAAAAAAAAAAATTTGACTCATGACTAATGATTCAGATATTCATGTGCAAAAAAATAAAATAAAATAACTGAGGCCAGGGTGCTGGCTCGACAACTGTAATCCTAACATTCTGAGATGCTGAGGCGAGTGGATTGCCTGAGCTCAGGAGTTTGAGACCAGCCTGAGCAAGAGTGAGGACACCCCCCCTCCCCGAAAATAATCTGGCATTGTGGCAGGTGCCTGTAGTCCCAGCTACTTGGGAAGCTGAAGCAAGAGGATCTCAAGCCCAAGAGTTTGAGGTTGTTGTGAGCTATGACACGTGGCACATTAGCCTGGGTAACAGAGTGAGACTCTGTCTCAAAACAGAAAAAGAACTTAGACATGTATTTCACATTATATTAAAAAATCAAAATGGATCATAGGCATTCGTGAACTTATACAGTCATACGTCACATAACACTCAACTGATGATTAACCTAATACATGATGGTCACCCCATCATAGCTCACAGCAACCTCAAACTCTTGGGCTTTAGTGATCCTCTTTGCCTCAGCCTCCCAAGTAACTGAGACTTCAGGTGCCAGCAACAATGCCTGGCTATTTTTAGAGGAGGGGTCTCACTCTTGCTCAGGCTGGTGTCAAACTCCTGAGCTTAAGAAATCCTCCTGCCTCAACCTCCTGAGTAGCTGTGACTACAGGTGCCCACCACAATGCCTCACCTAGTTTTTCTATTTTTAGAAGAGACAGGGCCTCACCCTTGCTCAGGTTGGTCTCAAACTCCTGGGCTCAAGCCATCCTCCAGTCTTGTCCTCCCAGAATATTAGGATCACAGTTGTGAGCCAACATACCGAGCATAAAAATAATTCTTATAATTTAGGGTAGCCTGAGTGTACAGTGTTTATAGAGGCTACACTAGTACACAGTAATATCCTAGACCTTCACATTCACTCACCACTTATTCACATACACCCAGGTCAACTTTCAACCTTGCAAATTCCATTCATGGTAGATGCCCTATACATTTTTTATCTTTAATACCATATTTTTGCTATACCTTTCCTATGTTTAGATAGACAAATACTTACCATTGTGTTACAATTGCTGACAGTATTCAGTATGGTAATATGCTGTACAGGTTGTAACTGAGGAGTAATAGCTTATACCATATAGCCCAGGTGTGTGCACATAGTAAGCTATACTGTCTAGGTTTGTAAAAGTACACACTACAATGTTCACACAGTGATGAAATCAACTAACAATGCATTTCTCAGAACATATCCCTATTGTTAAGTGATGCAACACTGTGTTTTCATGTACTTCCATTTTCTTTAAGTATTTGTTCAAATCTTTTGCCAGTTTTAAAAACTGAGTCATTTTCTTATGAATTTTGAATGTCCTTTATCAGATATAACCTGCAAATATTTTCTCCCAGTCTACAGCTTGCCTTTTAACAGTGTTTTGAAGAGCAGAAGTATTTAATTTTAATGGTCTAATTTACCATTTTTATTTCAGATTAATATGAGGGTACAAATGATTAGGTTGCACTGTTTACATTTCTAAGGTAAAGTTCCAAGTAGTAGTTGGGCCCGTCACCTGGGGGTGTGCTGTATGCTGACACTGTGCCCTTTATATGAGAGCTTACCAACCCCGCAGATCTCCCCAGTTTTCTTTTTTATGGACAATGCCTTTTATATTAAAGAACTTCAACTCAGGGTCATAAACCTCCCAGAGTGCTGGGATTACACCCTGCCCAGCCCAGCATTTTTTAAAAAAATAGATGTCATTTATCAATCCTGAGGAAGTTTCTAAGGAAGGTCCCTTCTATTCCTTGATTGCTGAAAATTTTTATTAGAAATGAATGTTGGGCCAGACACAGTGGCTCACGCCTGTAATCCTAGCACTCTGAGAGGCCAAGGCCGGTGGATTGCCTGAACTCAGGAGCTGGAGACCAGCTTCAGCCAGAGTGAAAGCCCCTGTCTCTAAAAATAGCCAGGCATTGTGGAGGGCACCTGTAGTTCCAGCTGCTCGGGAGGCTGAGGCAAATGAATCTTGTAAGCCCAAAAGTTGGAGGTTGCTATGAGCTATGACGCCACCACACTCTACCCAGGGAGACAAAGTAAGAATGTGTTCCAAAAAAAAAAAAAAAAGTGAATATTGGATTTTTGTTAAATGCTTAATCTGCATCTACTGAGATGATCAAACATTTTTCTTAAAAAAGCTGTTAATGTATTATATTGATTGATTTTCAAATGTTAAACCAATCTTTTGCTATTCAGATAAACTTCAGTTGGTCATGGTCCTTTTATATATTGATTCAATTTGGTAATTTCATCAGGATTTTTACATCCACCTTCATGTAGGTATTGGTGTCAACTTGCCTGGGCCATAATCTACAGATGTGTAGTCAAACATTATGCTAGATGTTTCTGTAAGGGTGTTTTAGGGTGAGATTTAACATTTAAGTGGGGAAACTTTGAGTAAAGCTGATTGCCCTCCATCATGTGAGTGGATTTCATCCAGTCAGTTGAAGACATGAATAAAACAAAAGATTGACTTTCCTGCAACAGGGAATTCTCTAGATAAGACGATGGCCTTCTCAGTTTTTCTATTTTTTTAGTAGAGATGAGGTCTCACTCTTGCTCAGGTTGGTCTCAACTCCTGAGCTCAAGCGATCCACCTGCCTCAGCCTCCCTGAGTGCTAGGATTACAGGCGTGAGCCACAACAGTTTTAAATTGGGAGTGGAAAGAGATACCACGTCCATCATACTGCCTCCTTGTAATAGACTAAAAAGACTGGAATGATAGAGTCAAACTCGGTCCAAACAGGGTGGATCCATCTATAAGAATCAACATCCTACCTTTTCGAGCCAGATGCCCTACATAGGAAAGGTCAACAGACCAACCCTCACCCTTCGAAGAGATGTCCAACCCAGGAAAAGGAATGTTCCAACTCCCACCT